CATGTGGGTCCTTTTCCCTTTTTTTATGATCTCTTTGGGATACAGACCTAGTAGTGGTATGGCTGGATCAAAGGGTACGCACAGTTTTATAGCCCTTTGGGCACAGTTCCACATTGCTCTCCAAAATGGTTGGATCATTTCACAACTCCACCAATAATGCATTAGTGTTCCAATTTTCCCCCATCTTCTCCAGCATTTTTCATTTTCCTGTTTTGTCATGTTGGCCAATCTGATAGGTGTGATGGGGTACCTCAGGGTTGTTTTGATTTGCCTTTCTCTTATCAATAGTTAATCCAATGATCTTTAAATTATCTCTTCTTCATCTGTTTTTCAGGTCAGTTGTTTACCCCTTTAGTTTCCAGTTCTTTCCTACTGCAAAAAAAAGAGCTGCTGTAAACCTTTTTGTACCTATGGGTCCTTTTCCTCTTCCTTTAATCTCTTTGGCATATTGACCCAGTAGTGGTATTTTCAGATCCAAGAATATGCATCATTTAGTGCATAATTTAGGCACGGCTCCAAATTACTTTCCAGAATGGCTGGAGTGGGAGTCTGGGAGCAGCCCCTTGAAGCCTGAGTAGTCACCTTATTTGACTCAGCTTTTATCCAGGTCCAAGATGGAAACTGTCGAGGATTGGCTGATGGCTAACGTCCTTGAGGAAGATCAGATTCCCCATAAGAAGATCACTGTGGCTGGGATTGGCCCAGTTGGTGTGGCATGTGCTGTCAGGGTCCTCATGAGTAATTGGGCTGATGATCTTGTCCTTGTTTAGGTCACACGAGATAAACTAAAGGGAGAGATGATGGCTCTCCGACATGGCAGCCTTTTCTTCCAGTTACCAAAGATTGTCCCTGGCAAAGATTACAGCGTGACTGCAAACTCCAAGGTAGTTGTTGGTACAGGCGGGGCACGTCAGCAGGATCCAGTGTAATTGGAAATATTTTTAAATTCATTGTTCCCAATATTATCAAACACAGCCCTACCTTATTGTTTCCAACCTGTTGGATATTTTGACATACGTGACCCAGAAGCTAAGTGCCTTTCCCCCAACCTGTGCTACTGGAAGTGGTTGCAATCTGGATTTTGCTGGGAGAGGCATGGTGGCCACTCTTCCAGCAGGTATGGATGAGGCCACTCTAGCGTTCCTGTATGGAGTGCTGTGAATGTAGGGGTGTCTCTCTGAAGAATTTCCATCCTGCCTTCAGAACTGAGACTGATTCGGACCATCGGCAAGATGTTCGTCAACAGGTAGTCGAAAGCGCTCTCAGTCAAGCTGAAGGGCTCCATTTCGTGAGCCCCCATTAGCTTGTCATTATTAGCATTATGAAGAATCTTAGGAGGGCAGCCTCAGTATCCCAGAATGGCACTTTGGATGTTGCAAAGGTAAGCCTGACTCCAGAGGCTGAGGCCAGTTGAAAGAAGGAGTTGCCATTTTACTACTGTCTGGAGAATGCAGCAACAGTTACGGGATTGTATATGATGGACTTTTCAAGTTGGGCAAATCCTTCAGCTGATTAGTGATTCAGTACAAACTGGAAAGCCGCAAACCCTCCCTCCTGAAGTGAGAAATGGGGGATGGGGGAAGGCAGCTCCTTCGGTTTGGGAGGCCTATTGTTCTCATATTGAGGCTGGCATATCGAATACATCTTGGTACCTCAGCTGTTGTAAAGCGGAGCCAGCAGCGCTCTCCCCCTCCCCTCCTTCCCAGAGGATCTCGTTTTGTCTAATGCAGACAGGCAGACGTGTGGTCAGTTTCCACACAAAAAGACCTATGTCCTACAATGCAATCAGTTCAAGTGCCAAATAGTGAATAAGTTAGGAACTGCCTTTTAAAAACAACCAGAGCACAGTGAGTAGAGTGGCCAGATCAATGCACAGCTCCACCAAAGAGAACTACTACAGCCCCTCCAACATTTGTCCTTTTCCTTTTTTCTCATCTTTGCTAATTTGGTTGTCATGTGAAACCTCAAAATTGCTTGAATTTTACTTTTTTCTAATTATTCGTTATTTGTACCATTTTCACACAGCAGTTGATAGCTTGAATTTATTCCTTTGAAAACTGCCTCTGTCCGTTTTCAGATTTATTTCCAAGTCTGTTCCATTGAAACTGGACCACAAAATGCTCCCCAGAGTAGCCGCTCATCTCTTGCCTCCATGTGTTTGCTTCTTAGAATCCTTGGCTTCCAGGTGAAGCCAATCATTCTTAAACCTTTTTTGGTGTCATAAGCCCCCTCTGGCATTCTGGTGAAACGTACAGGCCACTTGTTAGAACAATGTTTTTAAGTGCACAAAATCCCATACACAGTGTTACAAAAGAAACCCATTCTATTGAAAGTTGTCAAAATATTTTCTAAAAAACAAGTTTATGAACCCCTGCTTGAAGGCATAGCTCAGGTGCCGCCTCCTCCATGAAGCTTTCCAGGCCGTTGGCACTCTGTCGCTTCTCAAGTTACCTTATATTTGTCTGTCTAGACATTAGATCTTCCTGCCACTCAGGCCAGAATTCTGTCCACTGCATGCTGCCTCTCGTAACTACAAAATAAACAACACAGCCTCCCACAAGGAATTGCCAATGAGCCGGTCATTTTAGGCCCCATAGTTTGGACCAGGGGTGGGGAACCTGTGGCCTCGAGGCCACACTTGGCCTTCTAGGTCCTTGGGTGTGGAGTCCAAGTTTTACAGAACAAATCGTTTTATGAAGGGGATTTGTTCTGTGAAGTTTGGATTCAGTCCAAGGGCCAAACTGGAGGACCTGGGGTTCATACGTGGCCTGCAGGCGGCAGGTTCCCCACCCCTGGTTTGGACATTTATGGTGGCCACTCAGGGCCCCCCTGGTCTGGGAGCTGAGGGAGGGAGGTGGAAATTACCACCAGGTGGAGGTCATTAGTGCTCAGGCTTTAGACTAGGAGGGTTAGGGTTAGGTCCTAAAGATCTTGGTGGGCATGCATTCATGGGCCTAGGGGGATAAGCTTCAGTTCCAGGATCTGACTAGACCAGGCCCACGTTCCAGGTCTCGGCCATGGTGAAGGTTAGGAAGATGTTTGTAAAGTGCTAAGCACACTGACTGGTACATAAGAGGCTCCGAATAAAGGTTTGATCTCTTCCTTTCCCCTACCCCAATGTTTCCTCCACCTCCCCACTCTTCCTCTGGAGGTAGGACCACAGGCCTGATGAGACTTTCTTGTTCTAGCCCCTGCCCTGAGGCAGCCCTGCTATTGGCTCCTGGCTTCCTCTCCCCCATAGATGCCCCAAATGGGAGTGCTGCTCCCCATCAGCTTTTCCAGGCCAGGCCTTCCTCTGGGCCCCTGACCACCTTGAACTGCCTCCTCCCACTTTGAGCATCTCTGCCATCTGCGGTAAAGCTGCCCCAGCTCAGCCAGGAATGCTCAGAGGCTTGGCCTAAGGGCCTCCTCACGTCATAGTCTGGGCTGGGCTTGGCTAGGCAGCACTTCCTGAGAGGAAGCCCAGGGGCCCAGGAGTCTCACTCTCCCTCCCAGAGCTGACAAGTCCTTCCCTAGCAGCTTCTCGGTGTTACCAGGTACAGCTTCCCTTCCTCCGGCTAGCCTTCTGTCCTCTTCCAGAGTCGAGGGGTGGGGAAACAGCAGTTTCTGGGGGAACTTAGTACCTCTTTCTACCCAGCAACCCCTGTACCCCTGTCCCCCATGGCTGCAGGCACTTTCTCTTCTGAGGAAGAGGGAGGCCCCATTTCCTTCAGTGCTTAGCCCCCAGGCCTGGCTCTACAGAGACAAGGGAGATGTCTCTAAACTACTGCCTTGCTCACCCCCATTTCTAGGGTCCCTTGGCAGATACTGAAGAGGGAGGCTTCAGCTTTTATCACCCCAACCCTAGGGTCCCTGGGCAGGATGGAGGCCCAATCTCCCAGCTCTCTGGACCCTTTCATTTATGCTTGGTTTGAGGCAGGAAGGAACTGTTTCTCTGACTGCCCTGCCCCCCAATTCCTGAGACAACAGAACGAGAGGACTAAAGCTACATTCGACGTCTGGGGCATTGGGGCATGGTACTCCCTTCTCACTAGTATCCTTTCCCTCTGTCAAAGGAGAGGTGGCTAAATGAAGTTTGAGCTCTCAACGTGTGTATCCATGTTGCTGCACATTTAGAATTGTTTGCCTGCCTCTTGGCACCGATCCCCCTCTAGGGGTCAGGGTCCTTTGCCTGTCTCTCCATCCAAGTGGCAGAGGACAGAAGAGGGTGGCTTTCAGCTCTCCACTCTTAGTTTTCTTTCAGGGTTTTAGCAGTGCCAGCCAAATCGGTCATGGCTGCAACGTACGCCTCAGTGCAGAAGCGAGGTCACGCTCCAGGCCCAGCAGCAACCTGTGAGACAGAACTTGAGGGGGCTGTGTATAGCACTGTCAAGCCCAGGGCCCTTCGGGGTGGGACTGGGACCCCCACAGAATACACTCCGGTGGCCTTCCCCAGCTCAGCAGCCTTGGAAGACCCGGCATGCTCCTCTCCAGGTTCTGGGAGGCCCGTGCTGTCCCCGGTAAGTGCCAAAGCTGGGAGGCAAAGGTCAAGCTGAGCAGGGCAGCCCTCCCAGGCCCCCTCCAAACAGCTGCCTTCCTTCTCCCTAGGTTGTCACCCTCAGTGCCATAAGGAAGAGTAAGTATGGGACAGGAATTTGGAATTGGCTGGAGGTGTAGACCAGTTGAGGCCTGATGTGGGGGTTGGGGAGTGGGGCAGTTCCCCAGGAGCCTCAGAGTTTGGAACTGGGCTTCCATGTGATCTTGCCGGCAGCTAGCAACCCCCCCAGGAACTGCCCTGGGCCCGAGGCCTATGAGGACATAACAGACATTGCAGTTCCAAGCCCGGACCACAGTGGCCTCCAGCCCAGCAGCACTCTTGGTGAGTTGAACCATAGGTTACATACCTTTTCCTCTGCCACCTCTCCCATCCTCCCAAACCTTCCTCGGGTCTCAACCCTTACCTCTTCCCACAGGCTTCAACATTCGAATTGGGAAACCAAAAGGTCCCCGGGATCCTCCAGTGGAGTGGACCCGAATGTAGGAAGCCTGGGACAGATTCCTGCTTTTCTGCCTAGAGCCCAGGCCCATTAAGGGAGACAGAGGGTGGAAGGCGGGCAACCAAATTCGGGTTCACTTTTCACAATAAAGTTTTACCTATCCTGAATGAGGTGTCCTTGTAGCCCTAACTCCCACTGCTTTTCAGTCCTGGGCCTAGGGGTATACGATGAATCTTGGCCCCAAGCCCTACTATGCAACTATCCAGCGGCCCCTTGGGGTATCCCCCATCACCTCCACCCTACTCTGGCTTGACCCCTGAGGAGATGTAGTTTTGATGGCGTGTGGCCCTGGCAGGGGCTGTTTCTTCTCCTCCTGCCTCAGCCCTGGGGCTGTCTCAACCCCTGCCCCACTCCCAATTCAATAGCTTTGAGGTTTTTGTCCAGGAGAACAACTTCTGGGTGTCTCCAGCATCTATGACTTAGACCAAAAAATAGAGGGCATGCTCATGAAATTTACAGATTACACTGATAATGTCTCAAAATATCTTGACAAGCTTGAGCACTGGAGAGGACATAAAGAGGAAATTCAAGAAAAATAAATGTAATCTAGAGTTAAAAAAAAAAAATCAACCCCCCCCCCCCCAAGTACAAAATGGAAAAAATAGGCTTAGATAAGCAGTCTGTCTGAAAGAAGATGAAAGGGTCTAAGTGTACCATAAGGTCTGCAAAAGTACTCCCTTCATGTTGGGCTTCACAGGGGGGCTGAGCTTCTAGGAAGAGCTCCTCCTTAGAAGGCCTCATCAAGTCACAGCTACAATACTACATTCAGTTGGAAGTCCCATTTTTAAAATAAAATATTCATTCGTTTTTAAATAAAATCCACTGTGATAAAGTGGAAAAGGTACATGGGAGGCAAGCAGGTTGGAGAAGGCTGAAGGAAGTGGGGATGTTTAACTTGGAGAAGACTGGAGGAGGAATGCCACAGAAGGATTAGATTTGTTCTGCTCGGCCACGAAGGGCTGAACCGGGAGCACCGAAGAGCTGAAATTTAGGTTTAATGGGAGAAAAGCTTTCTTAAGGGTAAAAGGCTGCCTTGGGAAGTCAGAGTACCAACCCCCTTTAGAGAGGGTCAAGCTGAGGGCGGGGGGTTCAATGGGGAATCTACCTATGCCCATGGGTTAGACTAAATGGCCACGCTAAAAAAAAAAAACCTTAAATTAAGCCCCCGCCAAAGCCAGGCAACCCCTCACTATCCCTTCCCCCAGGCCTTCTGAGGCCTTCATCACTGCCCCAGAAAATATGGGAGAGAGCTCCCCAACTTGGAGGCCAGCTCCCCAACATCAGTCTCTGACCCAGAAGATAGCAAATAATGGCTCCATAGCCTGGGTTCCTGTAGAGGCCAACTCCCTCGTTTCCATCCAGCCCTGACTCTGTGAACAGGTTTTGGGACAGTGGTGTGACCCTGGGGCTCTCTGCCTCAAATGTCAATGTCCCCTGGCTTCTCAATTCAGCGAACCGTTGCCTGTGCCTGAGCCAGAGTAGGTGAGAGAACAGCTTTCAGTGTCCACCATAGTAAATCCAAAAGTCTTTGGCACCAGCCAACTATAATGCTCCTCCCCACAGTGTCATGAGAATAAGGTCCCAGAAACACAGAGAGGTGCAGGAGATGAGTAACTTTAATGACAGCAGTGGAGCTGGCCTCTCCCCAGGCAAGGTGGGTTTCCTCAGGTTTCGTCTTGGCCTGTAGTCCAGTGTGTGCTCTGGTGCTGGTCTTGTCAATTCTTTCCTAAACACCGAGGAAGGTCCTCTTTCGGGCTGTGTGGGTATACGGGTGCCAACGCCACTCCACGTCTGCTGTAGCTTCGTGCTCTAGCGTGCCCAGGCGGATCATGTATACTGCAAAACCAGAGAGAGAGGCGTGTGCTCGGGCCCCGAGCTGAGTTCGGCTTACTCTTTCCTAACTTTGGACCCACAGGCTCAGTTCCCTGGCCTCTTTTCCCCAGTCCTCTTTGTACTCACGTTTCATCTCAAATCTGGGCCCCACTTCTGTCAGCTCTACTGTGCTGTGATCTGGCTTCCGGTACACGTGATGCCTAGAAGGACAGAAGGGATGGAGATAACTTGGGCCCTTGGGGACACACCTACAACCTTCTGCCCTCCAGAGACTGGCCCAGATTTACCGAAAAGAAATGTAATCATCCTGGTTGGCAAAGGTAATGACTCTGTGGCTATCATCCCTGGGTACTGGGAAAAGGTATCGGAGAATGTTTGAGGCCTGGGGAATGACAACATGTTACGATAAGGGTTCTGAGCCGGAGAGCAGTGTGATTTCTTTTCTTCCCTTCTGTATTGCCAGAGAAGCGGCACAGAGACCAGCCCTTGTCTATCAACTGTCCCTTGAAGTGCCAGTTCTCCAGCCCCAGGACTTACTCGCTGTCCAAGGCGAGAAGAGAAACCATGAAAGATAAGATGGGGGAGGGCCTCTGAGGCAGTGCCAAGGTCAGGAACATCATGCCGCATCACCACGTTACACAGTGTGAAATATGCAGTAGGCCCAAAGGGCAGATGGCTCACGATGAGGCCAACTGTCGGGAAAGACGAGGATGTAGTAAGTATGGGGAGAGAGGTGGGGGGGGGGAGAGAGAGAGAGAGGCAGAGAGAGAAGAGAGAGAGGGTGTGTATATTCAGGAAAAAAAAAAAAAAAAGTCATCTAGCCTCCTAAGGCCAGGCATCCTCCCTACCCCAGGGGGAACTTGGGTCCATCCCTTGTATTTACCTGGTGTCCCTCGGTGCTCATGCACCAGCAGCAGATCTGTGACTCCATTAGCTTTACAAGCACGGACAAGAGCACCCATTTCATGACGACCCCGGTTCATTCTCTGAGCACCTGGGAATATCAGCTTCAGCTCCTACGTCAGAGGACAAGAGGTAAGGGATTGGGATAGATCTCAAAACGACATTTCCCTGACATCTGGTCTGACTCACTGACCTTGGCAAACATCTTGAGCCGAGAGCTGGGGTCTCGAGAGGTGGTGATCATGATTTTGGGGTCTTCTACACCGGCCCATCGGTATTCATCGTCTTGGTGGTCCAAGATACCTTTCGGAGGAGGAAGAAACAGAAGCGATTAAGGACGGCTTCTTGGAGATCCTAGGAGAAGGTGGCCCGGGCCCCGGAGACTTCTCTTACCTTCACCTCCAGCGTCATCAAACTCCAATGCCCCCTGGAGCGTCACAGCTTCCCTTTGGAGCTCAGTTGGGATCGGCTGATTCTCTGGAAGAAAGGGAAAGAGCCAATGAGAAGAAAACAGAAGCAGGGGAAGGGAGGGCTGGGGGTCGGCGGGCCCCCTGGCCTGTCCCTACCATCGAGGGCTCTCTTGAGCCTCAGTTTCTTCTCCCGCAGAAGATGCTCCTTCTGCTCCTGGGCCTTGCGGTACAAATA